ATGTATGTGGAACTTACATCCATTTGTGTTTCTCTCCATGCAGCCTCCAGACAGGTGAAACTTTCCAAGGGTATGATTGAAGGATGTCCATCACATTTTCCCATTAATGCAGAGGTCTGTGAGGTCTTGCTCCACTGAGGAAAAGTACTGGGAAGACAAAGCCCTACGTGCAATTCTTACATGTTGTCGTCAGAGATCATGGTGCCATCACTCCATGTACCTCCCCACCTCAACCAGTGGCTGGTTGCTGTGTTTCTCCATGCTGCAGAACTCTGAAGCAGATCAGGGGCTATGAGCTCTTTTCCATGAGCCTTCCTCTCAGTGTGTGTTCCCTGTGGAGCACAAGCCAGGGTCTTGCTTCCTACAGGTTCAGTAAAACATTTGAAGATGCTATCAAATTTATCTGCCAACATCTCTCTTGCCTCTATTGTTGGCATTGGGCATGTCCCTTCCTGACTATGACCCTGCTATGGGTGGGGGTGCCTCTGGAGCTGGTAACTGAGCCCCAGATGGTTGTGCATTACCCTTCCCAGCTATGGGACTGGCATAATTTCCAGTAGGAAGACCTGAGTCATGTGAGCCTACTTGTCCAAAATTCAACAAAGGCAAACGCAGGGTCCTGCACCTGGGGAAAAATGACCCCCTGCACTAGCACAGGCTGGGGGTCAGTCTTATGGAAAGCAGCTCTGCAGAAAAAGACCTGGAGGTCCTGGGTGTCCATGAGGCTACAGTGCCCTTGTGGCCAAGATGGACAGTGGGGTTCATTAGGAAGAGCTTTTCCAGCAGGTCAAGGGAGGTGATCCTGCTCCTCTATTCAGCTCTGGTTAGGCCACATCTGGAGTGCTTTGTCCAGTTCTGGGCTTCTGGGCACAAGGGAGACATGGAACTCCTGGAACAGTTCTGGTGAAGGGCTACAAAGATGAGCACCTCTACAGTTCTGCTAGAGCCTCTCCCTTAGCAGGCCAGGCTGAGAGATCTGGACCTGTTCAGCCCAAGAAATAGTGTCTTAAAGGGGTCCTCATCAATGCCTATCAGTGTCTGAAGGGAGGGTGCCAATAGGATGGAGCCAGGCTCTTCTCAGTGGTGCCAAGCACAAGGACATGGGGCAATGGGCAGAAACAGGTGCACAGGAAATTCCATCTGAATATGAAGAGGAACTTCTTTACTGGGCTGTGACCATGCACTGGAACAGGTTACCCAGAGAGGCTGTGGAGTGTCTTACTGGAGATATCAAGAACCATCTAGATGCAATCCTGTGTTATGTCCTCTAGGGTGCTTGAGCAGGGGGACTGGAACTGATGACCCACTGTGGTCCTTTCCTACCTTACACAGTCTTTGATTTTGTGATTCTGAGCCCCAGTCACATGTGACTGACACACAATTCCCTTAGGGTACAGCTGTCAGAGCTGATGAGCAAAACCAGCCTGGCATTCACAAACTGGAGGCATTACTGAGAATGAGGGAAGTAACTGGTTGAGGGTGAAAGCAGCCAGATGGCATGTCTGCTGCCTCACCAGAGCAAAGATATTACTAATATTATTACTTATTATTATTACTATATTAAAAATATTACTAATAGTCAAACTTCAGGGAATGGACACTGTGTATTATCTTTATTGGTTTTTCTCTGTTCAGCAAAACATTTGGTTTATTAAGCAGCTGTTTTCAAGTGAGGAAAATTACATCACTGAGTGTCAGAAAGTTTAGTTTGATTTTCTGAAATTTTTGTCTGGGAAGTCAAGCTGCTGTTTTATTAATGACCCCTTGACTTTTGAAACCAACCCTTGCTTCCAATCAAGTCTTAGCCATAGGGTTTACTTACAGGGAAAATGCATGCCAAGTCCTATTTCTCTGAAAACAGCAGAAATGAGTGACTTTATGGATCAGAAATGTCCAATTCTGCAATCCTGTTGAGTCTTTTGTTCAGGACCTGCTGCCTCTGCTGCCTTCAGGGTTTTTCATTCCCATCTCTGTCTATCCCTGGAGAAAGCATCTAGTGCCTGAAAGCCCCAAAACTCCTTTCTTGACCTGCAGCTGTGGAAGTTCCTCAACCAGTACTTTTAGTCTAAGGCACCCTGGTTATTGGGAATACATGGAAATAGAAATGGAAATGTCAAGTGACACAGACTGTGGAAAATTGCCTGGAAAGAAAAGATCTGTGTCCTAAGGGGAATTAGACAAGTAAAATTCCAGTCTGATAAAAGCCTCAGATCAGGATTGCTGCAAAATGCAGTCTTGCTGTATTTGTCCTTGCCTTGACTTTATTTTCCATGATTCCCTGGTGAGCTGGAGAGGGAACTGATGCAGCTGAGAGACATTCAGCAGGCAAATTCCAGCCATATGGAAAGAGTGATGCAGGAGTGGGAACAAAGAGTGTCTGAGAGCAAGTTTGATCCCATCAGTGAGAAAACCACTTTTTAGCAACTTTAAGGATTAAATAAATAACCTGAGATGAAGGCCAGAGACACAGTCACCTTACCTTGTTGCTCTGTGGCAGAAGTATGCTGGTATTCTGTTCTCCTCATTCCCACTCCTATTCTTCAGATTCTATCCCCATTATGTCCTTCTGTAATTGTGTGTTTGTGTTCATGGTTGTTTCCTAGTCTAGTACTATCCTCTGTCATCCAGTCAGCAAAAAAGAGTCTCCTTCAGGCTTGTGGTGCCTCTGACCAAGCAGATGATTGTAGCTGGAAATTCCCTTCCTCTGTTGTGGCCAATTCCTGGCAGAGTTGAGAGTTCATTCTCTCAGGGCAGGAGAAGGCTTTCTCTGCCAGACACTGACTCTCACAAAGCAAAACAAGTGGTAGATACAAAGTTTGCATAGACAGTCCCATAAAAATCCTGACTTGTAGCTGGATAACATCACCAACTTAAATAATGGAATTATTGGACCCCCTAATTTGCTCATTATCACACTGAGTTAGTATTAACATCATTAGCATCAATTTTTATTCTGAGAAAAAAGCCACTACTATTTTTTTTTGTGGTGCTATGATGCAGGCTACTGTGAAAGTGTGTATTTTTACAAGAATTAAATTACTTGTGATTTTAGCACATGGATGAACAAGATTAGTTGGGCTGTATAGCCAGGAAGTACTGTTTGTAAAATCATGGTTTATGTTTAATTTTAAATTCACATATAAAATAATTTAAATTTATGTGCATTTTTTTGTAGGAGGGACTTTACTTTCTCAGCACATAGTCATTTTGTTTGTTAATAACTTTATTATAGTAGAAGGGTTATAATATAATGTTACAAAGCTACGCAGTGCCTACGGAATGCATGCAAGGCATTTTCTTAAACCCACCACATTTCTATGGGAGGAAACAAAAATGTTATGCCAATTTCCATCCTCTCTAACCACAAGGAGAATATGATTTGTTTGTGTGGCTTTAAAACAAATGTGGATCATAGCAGTTTATTGCTTTCTTAATGACACACAGATAACTAGCAGTGAACTGCACATTCAAGTTGACTCCTTCCATGTTTTGAAAGTCTCTGTAGCAGCTGTCACCCTTTTTACTGTGATCTTTTAGGAACAAATGCCTTCTTGGACAGATTTTTCTCAGATACACACACACACTGAAAACACATTTCTTTCTTAACAGATGTGGTCCAGGCAGTTTGCCAAGGGTGAGCCATGAGAGCTGCCCAACACCTCACCTATGTTATGAGTTTCAGTGATTTCCACCTTTTGATATTGTGTAGCATGACTCATACTCTGACCTGAAAATACCTTCTTATGATCAAACATCCTGATAAACATCCTGATAGATTTTGAAGCAAGAAGGAAGAAAGATAAGGTAGAAAGACTGTTGAAGAGATGGGATCCCATAAAGTGACCATTTTGGTGGGACCAAAAAAAATGAGCATAGCAATAAGATTTCACAGGTACAACAAGATCAACCAACAGTTATTTTATTGCTGTCTGATGTGCAAGATATGTTGAAAGTGAAGCAGAAAGGAATGGAAAGGTTCACAAGGCTGAAAAGGTGGATTTCAACAGCATCATGAGGAGACACTCATGGAAATTGATCAGCTGATAACCTCTAATTAGTTAAATGATTAAATTATTATCCCACTAACTCTAGATGAAAAAATGTGGCCTTATGCAGATGGAAAAAGAAAGATACATTAGCCATTGATGTCTTGGAGTAGAGGATTTGGAGATTTATATTATTTTTTGTGGATAGATGTAAAGCAGATGAGTTATGAAAGCCTCAATATCTTTCAAATAAATATTTTACCAAATTTTTCATCTTTTTTAGTGGAATTTATTTCTGTCTTCAGAGACAGCAACTGACTATATCTCACTGAGTTATAATATACTTTTTAGCTACACTACGTCTATTAGCTTTTTCCATCCCTCCTTTCCAAGCAGTAACATTTTCATTCCTTCTACCAGGACAGGGTATAAAATTTATAGAATTACTTTTTAGCTAAAGATACTGTGAGTAACTGCTTATAAACTTCATAAATGCACAAAATCAACATAGGATTTTAAAAAAAAAGCATTGCTACCTTGGGTACCTAAAATATTTATTTTTGAAGAGAAGACAAATGCTGTCTGAATGATCTAAGAAAAAATTGTCCTGACTATAAAATAGTTTAATTGAACAATTTTGTGAATAATAATACAAAATTGAACAATTTTGTGAATGAATTGAATTTGCAATGTCCATTTCAGTAACAGCATATAATTTCTTTTAGATATATTTTCATAATGTGAAAAAGAAAAAAAATCTGCTGCAGTGATACCATCTCAAAAGGTGATTTTGAGAAAATATTTTAAGAAATAACTATCACTGGTTTAGTTTTAAATAGCTGGTTTAATTGTTCAATTCACTTAGAAAGTTATGCTTCTCTTAACATTAAAGAAATAGACTGACTCAGGAAGAACAATATCTTCCCTGATATTTTATGAAAGCTTGTGGGAAATAAATAAGAAATGTATGGGAAAATGATATAGAACTTTAAGTTTCAAAAATCTGCACCTTAGTCCATAAAAACCAGCTTCTTTATTTGTGTTTCTACACTGCAATTCTCAAGTCTCCTCCTAGTGCCTTTAACTTCACAAATCATGATGTAAAAACAGTAAGACAGAAGAGCCCATGACCTTTCTTCCCTCTTCTCCCGGTCCATCCACAGCCCACTGGGTAGCACCACGAGGAAATTGCTGAGGTCACCTTCCTGTTTACCAGCTGAGAGCCTGTAGGCAGTTTGTTCCTTACTTCAGGAAGCTGATGTGCACAGCCCTGTGCGAGTGTGTTGTGCCAATGGCACACCCACACTTGCTGGGGAGGGAGTTTGCCATGGCTGTCCACCACTGTCCTATCCCAGGTCCTGCACATGCTGCAGGAGGCTGATGCTAGCAGCAAGGCAGCCTCCTGTGGAGCATCCCCACATTTTGCTTGAAGAAGCGGCTTCCACTCAGCATGAATGACAGCAGGTCCAGACAGCTCAGGGCAGTCAGGCTCAAAAAAACCTCATTGTAGCTTTCTAACTGGTCAAAATCACTCACATGCTGTATGTAGTAGGCCCTGAAGAGGTGATAAGGAAGGAACCAAATTATGATGACCCAGATGAAAATCAAGTTTTTCACCTGGGCCCAGAATTCTTGGTGTGAACAGAGGGAGGTGGAAAATTTTCTCGCCACTTTTACCAGGATAAAAATCTGCAAGCCCAAGAGGGCACAAGAAATGAGGGCAACAGCTACAATTATGGCGTAGTTCAGGGCTTTCACACTCTGGTGCTGTAGTTCTTTGTGGAACTTGAAGCACGTTGTACTATTGTATAAGCCTGAGCGTCCATACTCAAAGTAGAAGAGCGGCACCCCAAAGACCATGACGAAGACCCACACAGCAGCGCTTGCCGCAATGGCATGCAGCTTCCTGTAAAACTCCACCTTGTCCTTCCACTGGAAGAAGATGAGCCACCGGATCACCAGCGTGATGACATAAAACACGAAGGTCAGGTACATGTGGATGTGCACCATGGCACTCACCATTTTGCAAAATGGCATTTCAAATACCCACTTCTTTTTGACGTAGTAGTGGAGGCGGAAGGGCACCGTGAGGAGGAGGAGGCTGTGCACAACAACCAGGTTAATGATGGCTGTGGTGGTCACAGACAGAGTGTTCATCTTGAGCAGCATGAAGGACATCGTGATGGACCCAATTCCACCTCCAGCAAAGGCAACTGAGTAGACAGTGACCAGTATGGCACTCATGGTGCTGCTGTGAACGAAGGCAGAAGAGGAGTCACTGCTGTTCCTGATCCCTTCAGTCATGTTCATGAAATCCTCCTGGTACATATTCTGGAAATGAAGGAATACAGAAAGACTAAAATAAGGTAGGAATGAGATGGTCTACCTAAAAAGCCAGAATAGCTGCCCACCTGGCTCTTGCTCAAGGAATAGGGGGAAATGGATGAGAAGGTTGGGCAAACAACTGCTCTAGTCCTTAAGACATTTCCAGCCATACTCCTAAAAACAAGCATGAATCCATAATATATGGGGAGAAATGATCCTTAGAAAATTACATCATTGTGGTGGTTTTGTGCTGTGTTATTTTTTCTCCTCTCTTCTGAGCATCTGAATGTTTTTACAGTGAAGATCAGAGATACTGTTTTCATTCTGCTACTCATTCATCAATTTGTTTATTTGCAACACAAATCTGTCCTTCCTAGGGCCAGACAACAACCATATGTTGTTCTATCTAAGATACAAATTCTGTTTGCTACTCTGAGAGCTGAGTTTTGAACACATTACAATCAACTTCTTCTCCATGGACAGTTTCTCTGAACAAGGGATTAAACACCATGTAAACCCAGACTCCATGGAAATCCTTCTTAGATCCTGCCAGGCCAAGAAGCGTGGGCAGTACTGTCCTGGTTCTCAGGGCCATTTCGTATCTTACATGTAGTAACTGAGTGTTATGAAATGGGCTGCTAGAAAACATTAGGAAAGGACATCCTAGGTGAGTGTAAATCATCCTGTCTGACCCAAGCAGAAACTAGATGCAAGTCAATAGCAAGCATAAAAGGTATGCTATACATTTTTAATATATTACTCTCTAAAAGAGAGATTAAAAATAATTCTTATAAATCTAAATGCAGCTCCTGTTAGTATTTTAAGTACTACAAGATCACATAGGAGGGGAAGAGTTCAGGTAGGGTCTTATCCTAAAGCATATCTGCATCTGTAAAAATGTCCAGGGAATGTTCACATTTCAGTTACAGAAAAGAGCTAGGGAAAACTGAACAGTGTTGGGCTCTGTACTATCACAGTTATACTGCTACCGCTACCTGAAAAGTAATTTAAAACTGACTCTAGTAAGAGTCCATTCTACCAGTGAATCCACAACACAAGAAGGAGTTTTCTCCCAAGTTTTTGTGATTTTTCATTTAATACTCAAATGCTTTTCACTTCAGGAAGTAGTTCCTCAATTTCTTTGTATGAATGGTGTTTCAACTTAAATTTTTTTTAGGTAACAGGAACTACCAAGAGTTGGGAGGGGGAAAACTTTTTTAGCAGTCCACTCATTTTATAGGAAAGAGAAAATGCTGCAAACAGAAAATGCTTATATACTGGTTTTGCTCATAGTGGGGAATGAATATCTGTTATTCATCTCAGGTGTTTTGTGCTGTTTCTTAGAAATATTTCTAAACACTTACCCTCAAAGTAATCAAGGTCTCTTCATACATTGAAAAGTTATTCTCTAGCTATTCCAATGCATCAGAGATGCCAGATATCTTATTATAATCAGCATAAATATAAGTGCCATATCTCAAACTGATGTGTTGGTTGCTGGCATTACTGACCTTTTGTATTTGATCTTGTATTTCAGAGTTATGTGGACAACTGATTCCAGTACATTAAGAGAATTACAATGGGTTGCAGTGAAGGAGCTTTTTATCAAAGACACTGAAGATTGGCACACTGCAGCTCTTGCATCAGAAATGGTGCAAGTTCCTTCCAGTTCTGTTTTCGTTTCTGAGACAATTTCATCCTTACAACCATGCAGGTCAGAAGGGATTAGCAAGGGCTCTTCATCAGTTTTTCCAATTTGTTGAAGAACTTAAGTTTGAAAAGATGTCTCTAAAAACAGGCATTACCACATTGTTTTGATTTAAAAAACATATTTAAAGTTTAAAACTTTTAAAAGTGTCACATGGGGGGAAAGGCAACGCACTGGAAATGTGGCTTGGTGTGAGCAGACGCAGCAGCAAGGCTACACTTGGGATCTCCTCTTGATGTCACTCTTCGGAGGCCAGTGAAACTTGAACTGAAGGCAGTAAGAACAGGTAGGCAGAAGTCAGATAACCTGACTTCTAGGCATCAAGAGACCTATTTCTGTCTGCAAATAGGTGACTGAGTCACTGAAATTTCGATTTCTGCAGAATTCTCCAGTCATCATTAAATCCCTGCATAGTAAGATTCTGCAGGATATATAATTTTCATTAATCTTCAAAAAAAAACCAACAAGCAGCTGTGATAGCAGATTATCAGCTCCCCAGCAGTACAGGCACCCCACTGGAATATCATTGTGTGATGAATACAGAGTGTAACGTAACACAGAGCACGTTTCACAGAGGAAATGTTGCTTTCTGGTGAAATGAGGTTTCCTATCATACTGACATTCACCATGCTATAACCTACTGACCTGAAATGCTACCTACAAGTCCTTTTGCCAGAATTTAGCAGGAGACACGTGGGAAAAGAATTAATATGGACCTTACAAGACACAGCTGTTCTCGTTTCTGTGCCTTCCCACCCCCTCTAGCAGCTACCAGTCCAGTGATACTGCTCAAGTCTTAGAGCCAGGTTTGGTCTTCCTCTGTGTTGAGCCTCTCATGACTTGGCTGAACTTCTGCCGGACATGAGCCTGAAGCAGCCACAAGGCACGAGTGGGCACCGCTTCATCTGGATGCCACAGCAGCTGCTGGTGGCAAGGGCTGGGGGACAATTGCAAAAATAGCTATTTCAGTCTGACAAAGGAGGTAGGTTGCCAGCAGGCCAGAGGCTAGTTTCTTTCAGAAATGTGATCAGCAAAAAGATTCTTGTGCATTCAAGATTTGTCAGTTGTCAGTGTGGATAATGCCATCACACTCATTTCATGTGACTGACTGTGCAGCACCGTCTGTGGGACTTGCCTGGACTGCTCTCTTCAGGACAGAAAAAGTCATAATGCTCAGTCTCTGTCTGTGTTCAAGGCCAGGCTGGATGGGGATTTGAGCAACCTGGTCTAGTGGAATGTATCCCTTCCCATAGCATGGCTGCTGGAACTAGATGATCTTGAAGGCCTCTTTCATCCCAAATCATTGCGTGATTCTATGATTTATGAAAACAGTTTATCTGTGTCAAAATTTTCCAGGTAGGAAATATTAATTCCAACATTCAGGAACTTGTTTTTCTTTTATCTTACTGCTATTTATCTTACTATTATAAAAAAAAAAAAAAAAAAGGTAAGAAAGAAAAAAAGATTAATCATACTTCTGGACAGAATTTGTACAACCTCAGCTTCCAGGCATTTGATGTGCTTCTGCCTCTGTCTTCAGATTTGAAAACCTTCTGTCAAATTTAGACTTCCCCCATAGATACCTGATATGAGACAGAAGATCCCAGCCATACCTGTGGCTCCTCAGTGAACTGCCATTACACTTGTACTTGGTTCTTAGATGAAGAACTTTGCATTTGGCAGGGGTAAAATGCTTATTCTACTTCGTGCCTGATTTAGCAATCCAGATCAGCCTGTCACTGGCTTGTTCCCTTCATTGCATGCTATTTTCCATGAGTCACCATTATGTTACATCAACATTATATCAACTTATTAAAAAAAAACACCTCATTTGTCAGGAATTATGACACTCTTACAATCTCTGTCAAACAGTGAGCTCTACTCTGTATAACAAGCATTTGCAAAATTTATCCCCCCATACATGTCTGCTGAGAGACTGGCAGGCTTCACGCAGATTTTCATGTGTTCTGACAGTTGGGTTCTGCAGAAGAAGCATTTGCTGTCTGCATGCACCCAACTGAGAAGTTTCATTTGAATTTGGAGGAGAAAAATGTTCAACTCAAATGAAAGATTTCTATTTTCGACAGGCTTAAAAATTGAAAAATGAGTGTTCGACAGAACTGACATTCCTTCACTGAACTAGACTAGGTTGGAGGAAGTGCAAGATACAAATAATTTTTAAGAAAATTGTGTTTAAAATCTGCATCTGTTTCACAGAATTCTCATTTAGTCTCAAAGATGTTTTCTGTTGAGGGCATTGTAATTGCATTTAATTTTGTTCTAATTCCATGCTGTGTTATGGTAATGCAGGCTATACCACTAGAATAATTGCAGAACTTCTTTCATTTCCAAATAAACACACACCGCTGAAGTCTGAAGTATAAAAACCTGCTTAATGAAAAACACTAAAAATAAAATAATACTAAATATCAAGCACATTTTTACATTTAGACATTGACTTTTTTGAAACAAGTTTTCATGACTCCCCTAATTCATTTGGTATCTTAACAGCCCATGTCTCGCAGGCTGTGTCAACATTATACTGATATTTTGTGGTTTCAATTTAGCCCATTGAAGAACAAATGGGACAGAAGAGCATGTTGAGTTAGTCCCTCTTTCATTTGAGATTGTCACTATTTTTACACAAAAAATTGGAAACCATGAAGTGTTCCTAAAAAGGATTATTTACCTCCTTAGCTGTATCTTAACAGAGAGAACAAGCCCTTCTTGTCCTTATAGGGACTGGGTGATATCAAACACACACAAAAAGATAGATGAAAACAAAAAGCACTGCCTCCCAGTTTTAGAAGAGAGGGTAAAACTACAGGATAGCAATATAGAAAAGAATGAAACAATGTTCTTCCTTACTAGGAAATTGCCAAACACCCTGAGAAAACATTTGTGCAGAAAATGGGTTCAAAATAAAACAAATTGATGACTGAATGCTTTCCCCCCCTGCCCTAAACTTTCAAACATTCTTTTAAAAACTTTGCAAACCAAGGCTTTTTTTTTTAATCTGTGTATACTTACAGATTAAGAGTTTATCTCCACTATTCAAGTGTTGCTTACTTGGTTCTTCATTCTATGAAAGCTCTAAGAATAAAAAGCAAAAGACCTGATACTTTAAAGAGTCATTGCCTTACTTCCTTCTTTGAGCTTATTTCAAAACAATAACCCTGTGCTGTGTGAGGGTAGGGCTGCCCATGGGCACACAACCTTGGAAAGACTTTCAGTTGCATCACAGCATCCCTTACCTTGCAGCTGCTTCTTAGCCATCAGAGGTCTTCTAAGCCTCCCATTTCTGAACAGTGCTTTATACTACTGCCTAAAATGATAAACTATACACACAGAAGTGAGCCTCACAGTTTACCAAGACACATGTTTGGAAGGGTTGTTCCCCAGAGTGGAGAGGATGATTTGAAAGTGTGTTTTGAGAAAACAAGGCAGAACAAGAGGAAAATATGATCTAGATTGACTAAGTGTGGGTTTGGATGTGGTCAGAGACACCGAAGTGTAAGGGATGAAATAAAGCTCCCTCTACAGCCCAGCACCACTTCTCAGCTCTGCTTTCTGCCAAGATATTAGCTCAGTGTCTGGATCTCAGGACATGATGCCATCTCTACAGCTGCACAGTGCTAGTAGAGGGAAACTAGAAGATTTAATTAAAAAGTGATTAGCCATGCCAGTGTCAAAGGCTCATTGAGCAATGATGGTTGCTGTGAGGTGTATGTGTGGTAAAGGTTGTCTTATTGTGGGACTGAGTCTCTGTAAGGAGTCTATGCAAGGTCAGTTTTGCCCTCCTGCTGGCTTAACATGCTTCTGTCAGAACAAATGGTTATATTTGAGTATAGTAGCTTTGAAAGCAACAGTATAGACATACAACTTATAAGTGTAATCTCACATGAGAACGTTTTAACTGACTGCATCCTGTTGCTTCACATTTGGTTAAAAAGCACAAGGGAAGTCCTGCTCTGCACTACTTCACAACAGACTGGTATGTGATGGAAACTGTCTTTTTGCATTTTGCAATTTTAGCAGTGGCTGACAGCTAAAGAACTGTTTAGATAATATTAAAAGGTGATCATACCACTAATGCTTGGCTCTTCTCTAGTACTTTTCTGCAAGCTGGTCTCAAAGCTCTGTTGAAAGTCATACAGATAAAAAGCTGAAAACTCCATAGCAGAGCCAGAACTAAAGCTTAGATATCCTTGAATCAAGACTTGTGCCCTCTCAAATTAGTAATTTTGTCTTGGCTTCTTCTAGGTCTTGTTTTAGAATGAATACATCCCAGCGGAAAGAAAGCTAAAGTCCTTTTAAAATCTTCAGGTATCATCTGTATGTGGGTTTTTAAATTATACAATATATTTGATACATAAAATAAGCTAACACATAGTTAAACAAGTTAAAACATAAGTAATGTTTTAATGTTGTATATTGATGTGTATTTTTGATGCAATATAGTAATTACATAACGTACAAGTTATTTAATTTTGCCGATAAATAACAATGCTGTTTTCTCAAGCAGTCAAAACAAATAAGAGTTTTTCAGGCTGACTTTTTCCCACATGTTTGTAGTTGGAAAATCTTCAGGTCTTTAATCCAGGATTAAACCAAATAATGAAATACTGGAGTATTATCTGGGATAGACACCCTCATTGCCCTTGTTGGTCTTTAATTTGTTGTTAGCATAAAGATCTAGGTAGGTATAGAATGCTTAGTATACATGTCATGAGGTGACTTTACCTTTAAGGTAGTTGTGAGAGCTAAGGAAGTTGTAGTTACTGGGGACTGAAAGGAGTCCCTTCTCCTGACCAATTATTGGTCATTACTTGGAATTGACAGCAATTTTAACCATTGAAAAGGGAGATCAACTTGTGAACCCTACCTTAAGATGTAAAGTCAGGGCGCTTTAGTTCTCTTTGTTTTCCTGGCTGTGAAAGGTAACAGAGCTCCGGCCTCCCGCTCTCTGCCCGGCCATGTGGGCGGGCGGGGGCTGGGCTGGGCCTGCCGTGGCTCCCGGCCGGGAGATGGGGCCTGCGGAAAGTTTTCCCCAGGCTCTGGCCGGGCCAGGCCGGTCTCTGGCTCGGCTGCAGTGACGGAGTTCACCGGGGACTGCCGAGTAAAGAAGGAGAAAAAGCTCTGGACCTGCGGTGAGCTGAGACAGCAACTACACTCTCCAGAGCAGCCATGAGGAATTTTCTATCGCAGACGGCTCCAGCTCCTGCACCAGCAGAGGTCACAGAGCCATCTACAAAAGCCTGGGCAAGTTTTTAAACTTTTCATTTCTCAGGTGAGACTTGCGGATTAATCCTTTTATCCAGAGAGAGAAAAAGAGAGTGATCAACATGTTAAGAGACTTTATAAAACTATCAAAGACAGTAAAGAAAAGAATTAAGTTTCAGAAAAAATAGAAAATAAGAAGATGCTTTTATGAGCTGAAATACCTTTCTGTTAAGACTATGGAAATGGACAATAAGGTCTTGAAAACACTCCTTTAATTCATGACAGTATATAGGGAGGAATAGAGTGTTCAAAGTGTAAATTTTGAGTAAAAAGTAGAGTAATTATAGTACAGTGAAGTGCTGGAAGATTTGAAGCCTTGGGGGGAAATGAGAAAACTGTTTTCTAGTGAAGCTCACAGAGACAGATGAAGAAGACTTTTGCCTTTGAATAACTCATCCTTAAAATGCCATCCCTAAACTCATGGCCCATACACACCTCAGAGTGATGTGAAATGGGAGGAGTGAACTCTGATAACAGCAGTTCTGGGAAACTAACATCAGGGCAATAGAAAACTATAACAAAAGTAGTTTTCTTGTGAGAAACTCCATAAATTAACAGAAAGAGACTTCTGTTTCTCTACAAAGACTGGCGAAAAGACTGTACCAGGAATTGGGACTGTTTTAACCATCAAAGTTCCAAAGTTTTTGTCTCTGTTGTCATGTGAGCAAAGGAATAGTGAGTAGATGGGGGATAAAAAAGGTTTTTTCTGGAAGTTTATTCTGGTGTTCTTATTATTGTAGTTTTTTAATAAACTTTCTTTATTCCTTTTAAGTTTTATGCCTGTTTTGCTCTTGTTCTAATCCATATCTCACAGCAAGAAATAAGTAATTTTTTTAGTTACTGGTTTAAAACCACGACAATACATCATTGCAATTAATTTTCCCTGATACATTGATGCAATTTTGCCCAGGATTTACCAACGACATGTACAATGGATTCCAGACTGGTATGTTTAGATTTTCAGCTGTAATGTGGTTATTTTAGAGTATTACTGATTTTAAACACGGGTACTAGAAATGCATGAATTTTACAAGTTTTGAGTAATTGCTGGTAGTCTTAGCAATACCCTAAACATCTAGAAGTGTGATGGTGTGTTTTCATGGTATTGTTGTATCACATGGATTCCAACCATCATCTAGATTGAGTTTGCATTGCAGCAACAGTTTCAAGGGCCAAGGTTGTTTAACAGTAGATGAGAATCTGGGCCAGATTTCAAGGACTGCTTGTCCTGAGTCTGATTAGCATCAAGATACCTCTGCTCTGGATTGTGGAAGGTCCTTGAGGAAAGAGAACCGTGCCCTTTATGCTCAAGCACAATACACACTGTTAGTGATTTTTCAGCTGTTCCAAATGTAAAGTTGTGCACAGAATAACCATGGCAACACAGGTGTTTTGTTTGCCTACATTTATTTTGCCAGGACTCAAGGATTTGGAGTGCTAATTCAGCAGTGGACTGTACAAGGTGGCAGGAGCTATGCAAGTGTGGTGGTTGGGTCTTCTAGAAAAATACTCTTCTCCTTCACTTATTTAAGTGTGACAAAGCAAAAAATAAGACCGACCTGGACACCTTAAATTGTCTGCAGGTAACCTAGCTCTTAGTTGTGGGTAAAGCTTGAGTGATGGTCCTGACAACACTAAAGTGATGTGGATTGTGTAGAATCAGGGAGGACATAATTCATAATAATTTGTACTCCTTACAAAAGCTGGCTTTTTGATCTGCTCAGAGTCCCTCCTAGTGCCAGCTGTGGGCCTGGGGCTAGTGTGTAAGACTGCCTAATCAGTTATTTAGTTGTAATGGTGACAGGTTATTTGCAGTTTATTATTAAGTAAAAGATCAGCTGCTAATAAGAAGAACTGAAAGGCAATATAAAATTAGAAAAACTTTTAGCTGTTACTAACAAAATCATAGTTTTGACTCATATTTCTAGTGTGCTTTACTATTTCAAGCACCTGAATAGAAAGATATTAATTACCTACAAAAGGAAAAAAAATTCAGTATCAGCCAAAAAACATTTTATAGATAATAAGTTTCTTAAAATATCTCTGTCTGGGTTCTGGATCAGTTGTGATTTGTCGCTGTCACCCAGGCAGTGCAAGGTGTCCCGTAAGTGAGAATTACTGCCTGTGACACATCTGAAAGAACATTTTGGAAAAGTACAGGGAGTAAAATGTGGCTTGAAATTCCTTGTTTCACATGCCTTTGCATAGCAGAGCCATAAATTTAAGCTCCTCTGAAAAGTGGAAATGCATCTGGTGTCCTACTCCTAGTTTTTTACTTGTTTTGGGGGAAAAAAATAACTTTGCAAGTTATTATTCCTGGGCATCATTTCTTAAATTTGCTTAAATGTACTTGAGGAAAAGTGGCATGGAGAAAGTCTGTTTCTCCTTCAGCCTATCTCACTACCTTTTCCTTCTACAGAAATGCCAAATTGCACCATGCTGAAGCTTAGCACATCAGTAAAAACCTTCTCAAATTTCTGCTCAGGTCTTACCAGTATCCAGATCTTTCAGAAAAGTACTGAAAACAAACCAAAACTTAAGTTCACAACAACATCTGCAATATTTCTCCTTTGATAGTGTGGGAGGGATCCCAGATCTAGAAACCAACTGTTCTAATACTAATAACACTGGAAATTTGTCCAACTTCTGCCATACCTTCACTTTTCTATTGGACTTTGCTTTGGCCTCAGTGCTGGTCGCCAAGGGCAGGAGGAGGAATCAGAAAATCGTACAAAAATCATACAAAAGGTGTCTGTTCAGTCTCCAGCCTAAATGGACTTTCTGAGAAGGTGTCTTACTTATATTTAACTGCACACTTCTAATAGTATATCACCAACTTAAATATTACCTCTTTTTTGAAGGATTTTACTAGCTCGTATCTGTTGCAAGCCAGTAAGTTTTTCAGGGGATGTGCCTTTCATCAGGAATCCAGCACAGCAATTCACTCATTATGAGAGCTTGTTCTTACCAGGGTGAAAAAGAAAAGGAAGGAGGAGCTGATTGACAAGGAGATGTATTACATGTACCATAAAGATGACACCAGACTGCAGAGAAAGAAATCATATATGCAGCATCAATTCTATAAGCATATATACCTCTTCAAGAAAAAAATTCTTTCTCTTCATCTTGAAAAGACAGTGCTCATCCTAAAATATTTTTGAACTTTGTACTTAACCTCACTAATTGCCTGCTGGGTTAGGCAGAATGCTATAAGGAAGAATATATTTTTAAGAAGGATTTCAACACAAGTCTATTGCTACTCACCCTCAAAATGTGTACTGCAACTACTAATACTGTTTTATTCCCAGATTGCTTATTTCATCTGATTTCTGACTGCAGACTCTATCAAACTCTATCATCAGGTGCATGGAAAAATAATTTTACCAAAGATCACTTTCATGATGAATATACATATACAGATATTTATGAAACTTAGAATGCTAGAATGCGTTGTCTGAGGAGCAAACCTCCCTGCATTAGTCTAAGCTCCTACTGCCTAGGAGCAGTACAGAAAGTAAAGCTTCCTGCCAACACTGATTGATAATGAAAATTACTTCTTACCTTAGCATAAATGCAATTAAATTCATGATGTGTCTGCTACAGTTGGGTTAGAGAAGAATTCAGGTTCCTACTGTCATTTCAGAAAGGAGGAATTTACTGCAAGGGAATTTTTCCACACTGCATTCTCAAAGCACACTGGTTTGCAAGAGCCTTTCCTTGATCAGCACAGCTACACTGCATATGAGAGCGAGGTGCTGTGGGCACAAAGTGCTCTGTTACATCAAATTGTTTGGGCTGAAATGGTTCACTTTGCTGTTAAATCTGGAAGTTTCCATTCTGAAAAAATTATAAGCAATGATAACTTTTTGATATAAATGATAACTTTAGCTGCATAAGAGATCTTCAGTGCATATACCAAAGTGTGAAACCAATTGTGCTGTCAATAAGCTCATTATTGATGCATTTTTAAAAGCTTTTGCCTATTTGGAGTTCAGTTGAAATATTTAAGAAGGCAGCTAGACAGCCCTGCCATAGGTGCAGAAGCACAGTAAGTGCTGCTGTTCTGGGCTGTGGAAGAATGCCCTCACCTGTCCTTTGTCCCACTGTCCTCCAAATATGTTTTCTCTTAGCTTCTCCCCATTTCATTGACACAGGTGTCCACAGAAAATCTTGGGCCATGCTGCTTGTGGCCTTAATGATGTTTTGCCAGTCCAAATATTCTTCAGTTTTGGAGTGCCCTGTGCTGTGGTGTTGCACTGGGTCCTGTACTTGGCTGATCTTTGGACCTCTCTGCAGAAAAATAGATCTGAAAACAATAAGTTATGAAATAGCTTCCCTTTCTAACGTCCTTCTTTTCATTTCATCCAGGCTATTTAATGTTCCATACATATTCTTTACTACTGGAAAGAGTAAGAAGCCAATATTTTATGTCATTATTCACTGTAGCTCTAATGAAGCAGTAGCTGAAGACAGACTGACAGGACTTTATGATACTATGAGCCCTACATGATAGATGAAAAGGTAAAATAAAACTAATCCGCATG